CTACCACCCTGCAGCAGGCAAGTGGGATTCTTCTGCAGCTCTAGGATGGTTTAAATTACATTTAGCTCCCAGTTCTACCCTTTCACCATGTTACTGTGGAAAAACTGGGGCTTTGTTCAAAATGAATGGATTTGCCTTGCCTAGGGCTGAATTCTTCAGCCTGCTCCTAATCTGTAAAATACAGGGTCTGGACTTTTCCTCAGTCTATAATTGAGTCCCAGTGTTTTGATGTACAGGTCTGTGCACCTTGTCATTGTCTGGTGCTTTCGTCTTGCGACATGAGTGTGCCCAGTGCCTGATGCTCCACAGCTCTTCAGAGTGATGTGCCCATTGAAAATGATTTGGAAGGAATGACCAGTAAGAGTGCAGGAAGGGGAGATGTAATTTTTGCACAAGTCATTCTGTGTAAGGTTTTCCTGACTTAGCCAGAGAATGACAGAACAGGAAGCTGCTTCCCATCCAACGTCATCACAATTAGCTTCTATTCTTTTCCCTATTACTGCAAGCACTGAACTAGCAATTGTCAAAAGAGGGAACACACCCAAAGCACAGATGCACCCAGGACTAGTGAATGGTCAGAGGGTCTGGTGACACCCTGGTTCTCATCTGTGATACCCTAGGAGAAGCAGGACAAGAGAACAGCCTGCTACCCCCTATACCAATGTCCCTTGTCCTGCCTTGTAACTTGATTCTTGCTTCTCAGCTGATCTTCTGCACTTCAGGGCATGATTTCTGCCCTTTACTGTCTGCTCACTGTCTGGTATGTAATCTGGACTACGATGGACATTCAAGTGTGTTCTGGTCTTGGCAGTCCTCAGCCCTGGCTGAGAAGCCACATTTTTCATTTGATCATCCCAGGAGCTCCTAAGTGGTCAGTCTCCCTCTTCATCACCCACTCTGAACAGCACAGGCCTTGGGTGGCCTGAGAGGCTAAAGCGGCCTGCTGCTGCTGTATCAAGAACACCAGCACAAGCATAGCTCAGCCAGGAACTGACAAGACGGAAACACTGGGAACACGAGATAAATATTTGATGAAGCTTCAAGCAGTGGTTCTCACAGATTTAGGTAGGATAATGGCTTTATGGTTTTGTTTCTCTTAAAATCTTTCATCTTTTGGAGATAACGGTACTGAAATATTCAGAACCAAAATTATGTGACTTGTGAAACTTCCTCCAGCGGTGGGCAGACAGGAGTGTGGGGACCTATAAAACAGACTTGGCAGTGACTAGGTGAGCAGCGAGGCTGGTGTTGGGTACCCGGAGTGGCATTTCACTCTTCCTTCTACTTTTGTATATGAGTGTTGTTTTCCTAACAAGACCTGGTGGAAGCATAAAATACCTCCTCCCCGCTACACACACACAGAGTAAATTTAGTCTTTGCACAAAACCACAAGGGTTGTCACAGATCGCTCCAAGGTTCTCTGATTCTACTACCCCTCAGGATTGCTGACTCTGGTCACAGGGATGCTGCTCAATGTCTGCTGTAAGCTTCCCTCAACCAGTGAGGCTTAGCTGTCCCTCATGCCCAAGGGCCTGCTCAGGTGTGGGTAGGGTTCCTTGTGACACCCAGTGAGTCATTATCTTCTTGGGTTAACTTAGGAGACAGAAAACAAACAGCGAACTCCAAGCAGCCAAAAAATCTGGAAGATGGGATGCTTTGCCAGCTGGAGAAGAGATGAGAAATAAAGGATGTTACCTAGGGGACAATCTGATAAAAGTTAACTATTCAGCCAAACTGTCACTAAGCCTTGCTGGGCTGCTTTGCCACCTAAACCAAACATCAGTCCTCAGCAGAATTCCAGGCCACTGCTACTCTTCCTAAACGTGGGGGTTTGAGTCAATTGGGGCTTCGCTCCATTCCAGTCCCCTAGACTCCTGAGGAGGATATTCACGAAGTGTCTTGCATTGCCATGTCCTCTAGCAGGGCTGGCTGGACCAATTGCAGCAGGTGCAGTTCCCAGTAGGGTGCCCAGCACCATGGACTTCAGTGCTAACCATTACGTCTCTTGTCCACCTGTCAGAGACCAGCAGCATACGGACGGGCATGCACCGTGCTTCTCAGAGACCATCTTCCTTCCCTGCCTAGGGTGAGACCTGTCGGTGCTAAAGACACTTTTGTTGAATGGAAAGAAGGGAAGAGGGAGAGAAGGAGCAGAGGAAAGAAAATGGCAAGGAGAAGACGATAACAAAGAGAAGAAAGGAAGAGACACACAAGCGAGAGGGACTGGTTGACAGTGTTTCTTTGTAGTGTAGCAGACTTGTAGGAGAAGCCCAGTCTGAAATCTCTGCGGTTGCTCCCAAAGGGAAAAGCAGAAACCCAGGAAGAGCTGCCGGGCACAGCCAAGTGCACCGAGGCAGGAGGCCTCCCTCAGGGTGTCATCTTGTTTCGGAGACTGTCATCAACATCCCGGTAACTCTGGAGGAAATGGAAATCCTCCACCCTCGGGCCACTGCGGGCTCGCCAGTGCTCAGCACTGCAGTTTCCAGGCCCCACCTCCCCACTCACCACTGGCCCACTGGCTGAGAATCCTCTCTGCCATCCCTGGTCCGTTATCCGTCTCCAGGGAGGCTCTGGATTGGCTCTGCACAGGTGTCGCCTTCCTTAGCTGACTTGGTGAGCACTTGGCAATGCAGCCTTTCATTTGTTAAAGAAAATCTGAGTGCTGTTAGCAAAGTGCTCATGCCTCCCAAGAGTTCCACCTTAGTTCTGCTAGCATCCAGACGCATGAATGAAACAAGAGGGAAACCAAAGCCCAGCTGTGGAGACACGCAGTCCCCAGGAGGAAGCCCCTAGAAAGCCATGCAGCAGACGTGCTCCATCAAGCCCTGGCCTTCAGCTGTGGAAGCTGCCATGCCTACTGCCACAGTGCGGCGCTCAGTGACCACCACAGCCCACTCCACTCTAGTCACTGCTCTCCCCGCCCTCCCCACTCTGCTTGCTTGCCTGGATCCCTTTGTGTACATTCTCAAATCTCCAGACCAGGTGAACTTGCCTCCCTTCCAAGGCCCCTAAGCTTCAACCAGGCCAATGCCCCAGTGCGCTTGTGGTTGGCACAGTGCTCGGGGACAAAAAGTGCTTCTGAGGATAACAATGGCCACACCTGATAAGCACACCCCGTGAATAGCCATAAGTCACATCCAAGAAGGTGTGGGCCTAACAAGTTCTCCTCCATAACAAGAGTAAGCTAGAGGAAGATGTGGATCATAGGTGGCAAACTATGGCACATGAGCCAGAGCTGGCTGTTTATCACTGAAATCTCTGAAAGCTGCATCACTCCTGGTGTCCAGGAAAGATGATCTCAGTTATCCTTACAGAAAGAGTTCCACCTCCACCTAATACTATGTCAGGAAAAATAACACTTGCAGCTGCTCAAGGGAAAATGAAGCAAGTTCACGTAAACACTAATTACACCTGACAAAGACTGCTGTTTTCTCCAGAGGCCGTGTAAGAGCATGCTGAGAAGACGAGAGCTCCACAGCTGCCACACTTCGCTGCCCTTCCAGGTCCCCGGCCATCCTTGGTGCTCTTTCCCGTAACAACTCAGTCCTGGCCACAGCTTCCCCACTGAAGCAAGAAGGCCATTGGCTTGCAGAGACCGGATGACCTGCCAGGGCCACACCGCAGCTAAGAAGTCCAGTGGCGTGTCCAGGAGTAAGAGACACCCTGATTCAAAGTGCAGAATCCATCTGCTCTCCAGGGAAGAAGGCAGCCTGTCTGAGTGCCTCATCTCTGAAGGCGGGCGTGAGCCAAGGACTGTGCACGCTAAATGGGAGGAGACACATCCACAGCCTCCCACTTGAGCCAAATGACTGTCTCACCCAGGATGCCCTCAGGTGTCTTTCCACATTTTGCCTAGCCTTTGAAACAAGTTTCTCCCAGAGTTTTGAAGACTCCAGGTGGTGCTAGGAGGGAGAGTTGTCAAAAAAGCAAAGAATAAAATTCGTTGGTGGCTAGGCTCAGGTTAGAGTCTGTCCTGAGTGCTAAGAGAACACGTTACTGAGCTCGCTCCATTTCAGAATAGTGGAGGCAGAAGGTAGGGACCAAGGCACCTCAGAAAGTCAGCCCACAGGGAACGCACAACCCCACCCTGCTGACTGGGTCACAGAGCCTTCTGGCTAAAGAGCCACACGGAGAGGGGTGCCTTCTGGAGGTGTCAGGACAACCTCCTGACCCACCAGGGAGAGTCAGTCGTCCCGGATGTCTAGAAGAGATCCTCCCGAGAGAGTGAGCTCACCGTGCCCAGCTCTGCCATGCCCCCTCAGGAGTGGCATGCTCCAGACACGGTTTGCTACATGGACTAATAAAGACGCTACCAGATTAAAGCAGTGTCCAGTAAGTGTTTTGCCTCCAGACTGTGTTCCTGCCAACTTAATGGGAACTAGGGACACAGAGGTGAGTCTGGGTCCTGGTCCAGTTTGCCATGGGGCATCCAGGAGGCATGCACTGATTTGGGGTTCTGTAACCCCTTTCATAAACCTATAGCTCTGTCAGGAACAGCACTTACTGGAACTAAAACCTGCTAGATGTGAATAACTTAGATAAGAACACAGGCGCTAAATTTAATTACATTAAGTTAAATTCCATGACATATGACATTCAATAATAAAAAGGATGCTTAAAGTATGTTAGTATATTTCTATCATTCGGCCCCTATTTTCTCTTAGTCTTTTTCTCAAAACTGAGCGCAAACACTACACGTTTCCCCATGCCCTGGCGGCCCTCAGTCTGTGAGTGACACCTCTGTGATTTCCTCCACTGTGGAGCTGTGATTACAGCGACGCACTCAGCACGAGGTGCTCTCCATGTTCCCAGGGCCCTGCATAGGGCAGAGCCATGGCAGCCCCTCACCCAGGAGCTCAGCCCAACCCTCCCTTCTGCTTCTGAGGTTCATTTCAAGTTGCGAGGCTGGCAGGTGCCCTCTAGTGGCCCTTAGGAGCTGGTGAGCTGGGACAGCAGTATGGGTGAGCTGGGACATCAGAAAAGGAAAACTGGTTACTTACTCGGAGACCTTGCAAACCAGGAGGTCCTTCCTTGCCTTCTGGACCCGTCAGACCCTTTAGAAGAGGAAAAAAGAGAGGCAAAAAGCTTAACACAGGACTCAACAATGTCAGCTGTGCTCCACCTTCTGCTTCTCACTGGGTAGGGAGACCCCATCACACCCCAATGGGAAGTGCTGAGGTCAGGAGGAAAGTAACGCCCCAGTCTCTCCAGTCTACTTCACTTTGCTTTTGCTTTGTTTGGGGGAGTTTTTTGTTTGTTTGTTTTGTTCTTCCTTTTGAAAATGTATTAATTTTTATTAGTGCATGTTTGCAATACATGTTTACTATCTTTGTAGGGACTTGGTACACACATACAGCACACCTTAATTCTTTATTCCCTTTCTTTTTCTCTCTCCCCCTACTTTCGTATCTGGAGCGCCTTCCCATTTGAGAAAGATCTAGCTCCCAACTTTTTACCTATCTTTTCTTTTGCTCTTTATTTAAATCTTGGGTTTCTCACAGATGAGGAACTATGCAGTGCTTAAGCTTGTGTGTCTGATATATTTCACTTAACGTCTATTGACTTAATTAATTATGTCTAATGAGGAAGATCTGGGCAGCACACTACAGATGGCCACAAAAGGACCAAGCAGCTGCCATTACTGCTTCACACAGAGCACATCTGGATCCCCGGTGTCTAACTCTAGCCCAGTGGTACTTCCCCTGGAGCCTGCTTGGATCAGAGACAAATAGCTTGGGTATTCTGAATCTAGGGCCATAGGGATGACAGTTGGGGCAAATAAATGAAAATGTTCCAGGAAAGCCCAATTCCAACCCCAGAAGGAGCTTCCACTGTAGGGCAGGAGTGTCCTACCCAACAAACTCAAACCCTGCCCCCTCACCCCGTGCGGTATTGGCTGCCTGACCTCAGATACGTTGCCTAACAGTGTTGCACCTCAAAACCCTCTTCTCTGAAGTCAAGGCAAGGCAACTGTCTACCGAGAACTTGGGAGGACCACATGCAGGATCAAGCCTAAGCCATGACCCGGCCCCACAGACTCCTACAGGCAGCTAATGCCTGCCCCAGCAACGGCATCCAGAGGAAGGCCCAGAAGTGGAGTGGACAGCTGGAACCCTGGCTCAAGCTCTGGCTCTGGCTTCTCTTCTTCCGATTGGATTTTAGCCACAAATGCCCACAGCACTTCATTTTCCTCATTAGAACAAATACTAGCACACTACCAGCCACCACTGCCAGACACTACATGTGAAGTAAACAGGCTATACTGAGGTCCAAGGTCTTTTAGTGACACCACATAAATGGAAAAAAAAAAAAAACCATATAGATAATTTTCAGAAAATAAGTGTGTGCAGCTCCCACACACAAATACAAGAATTTTGTGAGCTCAGGGCCCCCAGCAAAAGGAGACCTGGCAGGAGTGAATTCACTTCAGGCACCAGGAAATACTAGCCGTGCAGTTGCTCAGCCAGGCACTGGTAAAGGACCAAGGCCTGCTCCTGCCTGGGGACGGATGAAAGATGCCAGCATTCATTCCAGCATTTGGATGCAGAATGGTACATGCTGTTTCTATTTAAAGAACAGGATGTATTCTCTCCTCTCTGGGACTGTTGAACACACACTCCAAATTTTCTATTCTCAACAGAAGTGACTGCAGCCAGCTTTTCAGCTTGATTCATCCTATGCGTATTTAGGAAGCAACTGTCCTGTGCAAGGGCCTGAGATAGATTTTCTGGGGATTCAGAAGGAAAGAGGAAGGACAACTGCTGTAAGCACTAGGTTTAGTAAGTCTCCCACCGCACTGATCTGTAGATTAGTTCATTTGAACACCACAGCAAGTTCTTGCAAGTTCATGCAGGATGATTTCCAAGTTAGCAATGAATCAAATAAGGACTGGAGAGATTGGATCATGGTAACAAAGACACAAATCTCTTGGGGAAAGAATAGGGACAGGAAGCAAACACCTCCCATGGCCATTCTATTCTTCCTAAGCTCTCGCTAGTCAGGGCCCTAAATGCCCATCTTGGGCCGTCTCTCCACAAGCATGTGTTAAATTCCTATCATGCATTAAACCTATGGATTTCAAGATGCAGGAAGTACTGGTCCTGGCCTTTTTCACACTTTTAGATCTCTCATTGTTATTTGTTTTGTTTGTTTGTTTGTTTGTTTTTAATGAAGACTTTACTGAGGGCTTTTTTTTTTTTAATTCCAGCCAAGGGAATTTCATCACTTCCACCATGTATGGTACCATGTATTGTGGAGAAGCGCCTTGCCTGGGGAACATCTTCAGGAGCATGGACACTCATTGGAGAGAACAGTATGGGACACACAGATGGATCTGAGTCCAAGTTCTGTCTGTTTGACAGCCATGTGATTTAGTGTGTGTCATTCAATCTGTCTGCACCAATAGTTTCATTATTAAAAGATGGAAAATAACACTCCCACCCTTTGCAGGTTCATTTGCATTCAAAGTACACCACCGTAAAACACTTAATGCTTGTCAACAGTGGATCTGAAATAAATATGTAAATGTACATAGAAAGCTAAACAGTAAGTGTCTCTGGCATGACCTCAAAGCTGAAGACCAATAGCAGATAGCTCTGGAGCTGGGGAGGGAATATAGGAACAGAAAGCAGCTTTACTGACCCGAGGATTTTGATATGAAATTGTTCTAATTAACATCACCTACATTTGTTGTAGTTTCAGTTTTATCCCGGCAAAACCACACAAATGCGTTCTAATGATAAATGGGCCTCAATGGCTCAATATGAATCTCATTTATGGGCATTTATAAATAAGAGTTGCTTTATTTCCTGCAATACAATGTAAGGGTTGCTTTATTTCCTTCAATAAAAATATAGCAACTTGAAAGAAACAGCAGCACGCTGCCAGGAGAGGCAACTTTAAAACGGGGGCTCCTGCAGTGTTCACTGCATTCTTATTAATTATCCTCCGTATCTGAACTTACACCCTAAGGGCTCACAGGGCCCCCATGAACGGCCTGCTTCCAAGTGGTTATTTACACATCAGTTAGTGCTTAGCAGAGGGAGACGCCAAAGGCTGGAGTGCTCCGTCTGCCAAGAAGCTCTAACCAATTGGAAACGTGGGAAAGGACATGCGCACAGAAGCATTCGACTGGCTTAGGAGTGCTCGATGTTTTTCTTCCATTTTACATGAAAAGAAAAGGAAACATCTGACTGAGCACAAGGCAACCCTCACGGTGGCCTGCTTGAGACCACAGGCTCTAGGCAGGCTTCCTGGCCGGCAGTCCCACTTGAATTTTGCAGGAGCTGCTGGTGGCCATGTCTCCTTGCCACAGCACAGTTTCTCCCTGGGAAAGAGGGTGACAGGAACAGCATCTTCTACTTGGGGTGATGGGGGCTTCTGACATAACACAGTGCTTAGTCACAGATGGACGAAGGTGTTAGGGAGCTAAGGGTGTTCAGAGCACACCCCGGGCCAGGGAGGGTGACTTACAGGAGCTCCTGGTGGCCCGGGTGGGCCTTGATGACCTCTTGGACCTGGAGCTCCCTGGAAGCACAAGCCAAATGTACATTAGTCATGACCACTCTCTTCCTAGGAAGAGCACCTTAACACCCAGCGCTCCCGAAAGGATCCCAGAGAGACTTGAGGCCCAGGCATGGCATTCGTGCTCCTCGAAGAAAGCTCCCTGGAAGGTTCTAGCTCAGCCCCACTCTATGGCTGGGGCCTTTCCACGTCTACTACCCCATAACAAGTATGCTGGTGATCTCTTACCTGTTCGCCCTTCAGGTCCGCTCTCTGTACCTGAGAGACAGACAGGTGTTAGCGAAGGTGCCAGCAGTTTCTCAGCACGTCACCCGCTCTCTGTCCCACTGACAATAGTAACCCAGCCCACCAGAGGTAACGGCTTCTGAGTTTCCTTTGACTTTATCCCCTCTTTTGGTGTTAAAGTCTTTCTGTCCCACTCACGTCACCAGAAGAGCTGTGCCTTAAGTTTGCAGGCAAGGACTCTGTCAGTGACCCAGCATCTGAGCACACAATCCCACCAGTGGGGACTTACCACAGACCCCGGCACCCCAGGAGGTCCTGCAGGTCCCACATCTCCCTGCGCAGAAAGAATAAGCATTGTAGTGGAGTTATCAGCGGCCACCTTCTCTGGCTAAGCACCAGTTGTGGAGGCCCTGGCCTATTTCCACAGGCCAGCAGGGCCTTCTCTGCGCTCCATCACACAATGCCTCTGCTCCGAGCCTTCCAGGCCTGATTCTTCTCTCTCCTTCAAGATCACAGGCTTCTGAAGAGCAGGCACTGTGTTGACTCTTCTGTGCCTACCCCACCCAGGGTCTACATGTGGCTGGTGTCCCGTGAGGCCCTCACGGTTTATCACGACAATGTGCCTCTAGAAAGCAGCCTTGGCTTACTGCCCAGAGAGCACCTGCAGGCACCAGGCATCCAGTGAGACCCAGCAGGAGCGGAAGCTAGACATGCTGCAATGTCCCTTGTGCAAAGGCCTTGCTCTAGCACATGGCCAGCATTACAAGTGCCTCCTGAACAAATAACCAATAAAATGTTCAGATAACCCCCACCCACTGTCGTCGCCTACACTGGTCTCACAGCTCCTTCACACGTAGGTCACCTGGGCTGTGACAGCTGAGCCGTGACCAGGCTTCTCAGGGCACAAGCTGCATCTTGGCTCCCCAGGGAGCATACTCAACACTGTCAGCATCCAAGTCTTTGGTTCTCTGGCTGTGGTGACTACAGCTGAGACAAGCAGGCTCCTTGACACTCATGTTAATGGATTGCAAACATGAGCTTTCTTTTCACCTAGAACCTGGTTCAGGGAGCACAGGAGACACTTGGGATTTCAGTGATAAAACTGGCAAATAGAAGAAAGAGTCAGGAAACAAATGCAAGAGCATCTGTAAGTCTTCAGGCTCAGGAGTAGGGACAATGGGTCGCAGCACAAGTCCTCACTATCTTGCAGGTTATGCTCTGCACAAGAGCCCACAGCCTGTCCTGCTCTCCCCCCCAGGCCCTCCCCATGACACCACTGTCCTCCACAGCTGCATGCTTTCCAGTCCTGCGGAGACATGGAATAGGTGCTTCTCCTCAGCTGGCTGCTCACGTCCCTGTCAAAAAAAACTTCAGGATCAGTTTTGCTTACTGCGACTTCACTTTTGTTTCTTGCGCGTCACTGAGTTCTGGCAAGGATCTCTTCATTCCATGTTTGCTCTCTCTAATCTGCCACTATCCCACAATGTATCATGACACTGACACAAGCCGGCCCACTCAGCACACTTCAGGTCATTCTGGGACCTCTCCAGGCAGCGGCGTGACATGGACAGACCCCTACACACTCAAATTCCACCTCAAATAGGTCTTCTGCATTTCCGCATGAGAACTCACTTCTCCAAGCAAACTTTTCCCTCCTCTACTCCCTCAAGTTTCACTAATGTTTCGGTAAAATATAATTGTTAGAAGCTACTTTATAATTTTATGGGCCAAGAAAACAAGACAGTTATAAGTGACCAAATAATCTTTTGGGTTCATAACTATCTTTATTTATGCTTTATATCACTATCACATCCCTGTGAGAGA